AGTGAATTACTTGATGTGAAAACCATAGCCTGGGGCCAGGCCCACCTGGAGTACTCAGCAGAGGCTGGCTAACATGATGGGGATGAAACTCAGGCTTGTCACAGGAGGAGGCCCCCTCCCCCCAAAAAAGCTGATTCTCTAGGGTTAAAATCGACTTCTGTTCCTCCAGCCACACTTGCTTATCTGGTTTCTTTTTAAACTCTAGACACTCACTGTGAGATTTCTAGGTGGAACCTGGAGAGAATCCTGTGGCCAGTGCTGTGTGACCCTGGGCAAGTTGCTTCACCTCTCTGAGCTTCAGTTCCTTCTTCTAAGGCGGGGGCTAGAACCACAGGTCCTACTTCGGGAGCTGCATTTGTACAGGTTCTAAAGAGGTGACTGTTTGAAGGTACTCCTATAAGTAACCAAGGGAGGGCCCTGCAAGCGGACGAGGAGTTATCAGAGCGCAGGGCGAGGTGGCTGGCCGGCTGGTCCAGATGGATGCTGGACCGTGGACCTTGGCCTCTTTAGAACCCTCCTTCAGGGCAGCAAGCTGAGCAACCTGGATATCCTCTGACATGCAGCATTTTAAAGTGACCGCTCCCAAGTACAGAAGGCCCCGAATTCGCCGCCTCCCTTCCTGATCACCCTTCACCTGCTGTCACTGCTTGCCAGGGCCCCCTCCCTCCTCCTGGGATGAAGGGAGGAGACTGTGTCTCAAGTCAACATCACTTATCTCCCCAAACACGGGCTGACAGCTCAAACAACAGGACAGGGGTGCCCCCTGAGGGAAAGGGACTAGCTGCAGCCGGGAATAAGTCCAGGTCTATGAGGAAAGAAGGACGGAAGGAGGAAAACGAGGCCAAGGGAGCAGAGGAGCCAAGGTCCCTGCCGAGAACCAGTGACGGCCCAGCCTCTGCTCGGACCCAGAAGCCGCGGGCGCCGAGTGGGACCGGACGTGGGGCTCCCCAGCAGCTAGGATGCATCTAGGATGCTGCTCTGACCCCACCCCCAAAAGCAGCCTGGATGGAAATGGGCCTGGGAGGATGAGTCATTTCCAGGCAGCCGTGTGTGCTGTGGGGCTTGAACATTCCCAGGCCAGCAGCCCCGAGATGGGCTCCGAACGACACGCTGCCTCTGGAGTTACGTTTCCTGACTTGGGACACTGATTCACAACGAGACACTTATTTTAGCCGTGAGCAGACAGCTTTGCAACCTGTGGGGGCGCTTTTGTGGTTGTTACGATGGCTGATGCTTCTGACATCACAGTGGGAGGGAGGTGATGTCATGGGTGAGGGACACCCTGGCAACACAAATGACAAACCCACTCAAGGAGGAAGGGTCCTGACTGCCTTGCAAACTCTGGACATCTGCTTAGATTAAAAACAAAAACAAAAACATGAAACATCCTTCAATCTCTCAGCCAAAATCTCAATGTGGGTTTATGTATAAATTCAACTTTAAATTCTACTGAACTTGCAACTACTGGGATTTATCGTTTTACCAGGAATCATTTGCCATTTGGGAAAATCGCATCACCAAGGCGACGCTGTGTTGCAGGTGGCGTCTGAGTTGCCAACACAACACACCTGTGTCAATCTGCATCGTGTTTGCAGCGATTCTATCTTTAGGTGCCAACATGTGACATTCCGGTGGAGCCGTGCCTGTGCGCTGATATGTTAAATTATAGGCTCTTTCATTATAAATGACTTTTATGCTCTATTGCCTTTATTTTATCGTTAGGGCATTATACTGATTTAAAAAATGTAAAGTGTGGGTAGGCTACATGCTCCATGAAGGAGCTTCTGGTTAGTGAAGGGGGCATTTCAAAATATTTGTTAAAAAAACAGAGTGAAGGGGGGGAGCTTTGCATCCAGCCATGGAGTTGGGGGGGAACACATGCTATTACACAATATTACTCATCCTTAGAGCCATTCATCTCAGTGGCTTTTGTGGAGGCACATACTTGTCCTGGGTCACTTTCTCCCAAAATGTATCTCTACCAAAGCAGTTTTTTTCAGCTACTTGTGGTCAATCACACTGAAGGTGATGCTGGGTCCCTAGAGGGAGTTCCTTGATGGATGAGGGCAGCTGAGAGCTCAGATGTCACCTCCTGAGGTGGGAAATGGGTCTGTGGGAGCAGCACCCACAGGCAGCTCTCCCTCATCCTTGGGGACACAAAGGCTGCTTCCCCAAGGTGGTGTTTGGAGAGGCCCCTTGGGGCCTGGCTACCAAGTGGGCTCCCGTTAAAGTTCATGGGACTCAAGGACCTCATCCCAGCCTGGGGTCCTGTCCGCAGCCTTTATGTCCTAGACTGCAGGCTAGGAGAGGGTATTTGCTAGTATTTGCTCCTGGGATGGAGCATGCAGCTCCCACCTATAGAAGGGACTTCTCTACATCATAACTGGAGAGTCAGACTCTGGGGCCGGGATGGGGCTGAAATAGCCCATGGGGTTCTGAGGCTCACACCCTACGCCTAGCTGAGAATCAGAACCAAGCATACGGGACATTAGATCCCAGGGGCTCCACTGGCAAGCAAGGTGAGACGGTCCTATTCATGGTCTCACTCCTGCTTCTGCAAGAGGCGGTGCTGAGGATGGGCGGGGCACGTATAGGATTCAGCGGGGAGAGGCCATGCCCAGGAGCCTCTGAGGACCGGCACTTCCGACGCCGCCTGGAAAAGCAGGCCAGTGATTGATTCTGGAGTCTCTAGCTGCCTTAGAACTCAAGCCCACGGGGTGAGACTTGGGATTGCCTATTGGCTGCCCAGAAACTACCTCACGGCTACACCCGCCATCTCCACCGAGCATGTCACAGGGGACACATGTCACATGGGGACCTCTGGGAAGTGGGTTCTAGCCTGGGGGGGGGTGGCTCCTGTGCTGGCTGTGGGAGGATGAGATGCCAGGTCACTACCACTGGGAGAACCCTGAGGATGTGATCCTGGCCTCCAGCTCTGGAAATGGACGTTAGGCCACTGGGGACCCCCAAATCATCTGTCCCACCAAGAGGGTCACACCACACCCTGTGTACGGGGCCTAAGACTCGCTGTCTCTCGTGGAGATGGGACCAGGGTGGGGCAGAGACTCCAGGGTGTCTGTGGGGAGCTCGCAGGAGAGAGGAGGAGTGGGTGGGAGGCGGGAGCTGGGCGGGCAGGGGGTGCCCTCTGTCGCCCTCTGCACAGGCCTTCCGACAGAGCCTCCACATTCCTCCATGGGGGCCTTGCTGGCATTGGCTCAGTTTCTGGCCAGGCGTGAGATGCTGGAAAAGCCCCAGGATGCAATGGTGGCCAGGGTGGGCTTCCACAGACAGGAGTGCACAGTGGGCGGTCTGGGGGCTGCCGTGCCAGGACTGGGTCCCATGCAGGCACAAGTGCACCTCAGGACCTTGGCACCTGCCGTTCCCTCTGCCTGGATGCCCCTCCCCCTTGCAGCTGTGAGCCTCACCCCCCCGCCCCTTCCTCCGGGTCCTCCCAGGTTGCCTTCCTAGTGCGACCTGCCAGCTTCCCACCTGCAATGTTACCTTCCCCAACACTTCCTAGCCCTTCCCCGCTCTATTTATCTCCTCAGCGCATATGACTAATGATTTACAGTGCTAACATCTCGCTGCTTCTTTGGCTTCCCCACTGCACTGCAAGCTCCCCAAGTCAGGGGGTTTGTCTATTTCAGTCACCCCCCAAAGTCAGAGGATTTGTCCTTGTCTAGTCCAGGGCCCAAAAGAGTACCTGCACAGAGCAGGTCCTCTGTGAACACTTCCTATATGAATACAGGCAGGGGCCTGGGAGCTAGTCAGTTCAGGTCCCCACAGGATTTCCCAGTGACCTCTAAATGCCCTTGGGACTCTCAGGGGTCCTAGAGAAGAGGACTGGGAAAGCTTGGCCTGGATTTCTGGGGACCTCAGGCTGGAGCCTCCCTCTGTGGCTCACAGGATCTGCCTAGTAACACTGGGCTGTAGTGTCAGTGCTAGACCTTAGAGGGGAGTGGAAGAAGGCAGAGAGAAAACCTGGCCCCCTCCATGCGTGTGTTTGCTCAGTTGCTCAGTTGTGACCAACTCCTTGCGATCTTTTGGACTGCAGCCTGTCAGGCTCCTCTATTCATGGGATTTTTCAGGCAGGGATACTGGAGTGGGTTGCCATTTTCCTACTCCAGGGGATCTTCCCAACCCAAGATCGAACTTGTGTCTCCTGGGTCTCCTATTTCCCCACCACCTGGCCCATCTGCTCCTCACCGACTGTGCAGCCGCCCCCTTCCCCCAGAGGGTCAGAAAATGCCAATCCGGCAAATACAGAGGGGCTGGTACCCAGTTCTGTTTTTTTTTTTTTTTTTAAATTTTTTGGCCACACCACTCGGCATGTGGGATCTTAGTTTCCTGACCAGGCATTGAGCCTGTGGCCCCTGCAGGGGAAGCATGGGGCCTTAACCACTGGACCCCCAGGGAAGTCTTTGGTACCCTGTTCTTCAACTGCTGGTCTTAGCTTCCATGTAATTGGAGCAATGCCAGTGTTTTGGGGAATGGGGACTAATTCTCTACTTTGTCTGCAGTTTCTCTCTTTTGAAGTTTTCTTGCCCTGGATGGGCTGCCCCCAGGAGAGAGCCAGTTTGGGCTGAGGGTCGCCCAACACCCAGCTCTTCCTCTCTCTCCCCAGATTCTCAGCATCCATCCACACTCAGGTCAGCCATGCCCAGGTGCCTCTCCTCATGCAGTGACCTCAGGGAAGGCTGCACCATCTGAGCCTCAGTCTTCTCACTCTTGAAATGTGGATTGCAAAAATACCCACCTTGTGGGGGTGCTGGAAGATGGGGCCTCAGCTACCATGGTTATGAGCTCTGGGTTTCATGGCAAGAGGTACGCACTAGACATGCCCATTGCATTTCGCAATGGCAATTTCCAGGGCAAGAAGCAAGGGGGGTTAAGTGGGTGTGTGTGTGCTCGGATGCCTGAGACACTCAGCTTGGCTCCCGGGCTGTGAGACTGAGTTGCCACACATGCTTGCGTACAACACACATACCCCAGGAGCTTACCTGTCCACCTGAATTTCCACGTCCTTGGTCTCTGTCTTGGCAGGTCCCCCTCCGTTGATCGCTCTGCCCCCACTGGTGAGAAGGTTCAGGACAGGCTCTATTTCTTTGAGCAGTTTATTGTTCTCCCCGCTGCCCTGGAGGGTGACCCCAGCACTTTTCTTGGCAGGGTCCTGGCCTGGGGGCTTGGCAGCCAGGCCGTTGGCATGGGCAAGCGAGCTGGCTTCCTGCCCTGGGTCTGGCGCATGCTGGGGCCCATTGCCGGGACCCATGGCCCCGTCCACCACCAGCGTTTGCTCTCTCCCGGCTGACGCTTGGTGGGACAGGTCAACGGCTGCCATGGGGGGACCCAGGGGCCGGGTCACCCGGATGGTCTTGGGGGTCCCATCCCCGGTGAAGGTGGTCTCCAGGTGCGTGGTGAAGCCCTCGGGGCCCCTGAGGATGAGAACCACGTGGGTCTCGGAGGCAATCCCCCTAAGCACCTCCAGGGCGCTGTCGTAGCTCAGGTCCACCAAGGGCTGGCCGTTGACGGCGAGAATGATGTCCCCGGCCTGGATGAGGCCGCTCTGCTCCGCGGCGCCCCCTCGGATCAGGTCAGAGACAATCACAGGTGGCTTGCTCACCCTCTCCTTCACCAGGAACCCCAGGCCCCCCACTTTGCGCTTGAAGAGGCGGACAGAAATGACGTTGGGTTGGATCTGCTGAACGCTGAACATGTGGCTCTCCATGGTGTCTAGTGTCCAAGGGTCCACAGACCTCAAAACGGGTCAGGCCGAGGCCAGGTCCCCAGGAGCGGCCAGGCTTCAGGCTGCGCCGGGAGGAGCCGGGGGGCTGGTGCTGCAGGGCTGGAGCCCGGACGGGGAGCTGCTCTCTGGCTGGTCTTCTGTGCCTCTGACGTCAACTTGGCGTCACTCGCTCATTGCTGTTGGGCCGTTGGTGGCATGATTTCCTGCGTCTGCCTCCGTCCTCAGTCTCTAAGGAAGCGATGGTTGATCAGGCAGACGTCAGGGGAAGCGGTGGGATGAGTCCCTACGCCACAGGTCAGGCGGATCCGGGAGATGTGTCTGGTGGCTGTGCCTAGGGGTGACGCATGCTAGCGCGGACTACCCACTGGGCATCGCCAGCCTGTCAGAGGCAGATCCGATCCGGGGCTTCCTGAGGTCAAGAGAAGGAACAAGGGAGGGGAGGAAAAGGATTAAAAAAAAAAAAGAGATGGATATGGGATGCCCAAGACCACCTTTAAAACTAACAAGAGAAACGCAGCCAATTGAGAAGTCTAGCCATAAGATGCTCTGGAGTTCTGAAGACAACCTAGACAAAAAATTCTTCTTCTTCTGGGGTGGGGGGCGGGCGGGCACACTCGCAGGTGGCTGCATATTGCTTGGTTTCATTTCCATGATCAAAGCCCTGTGAGACAGGGGGGCTCCTTGGGGAAACCACTGAGGAGTCAGCCCCAGAAATCAAATGGCAAGAACCCTAAGACCTCTCATCTTTTCTTCACTGGAAGAAGTTAGCACTCCAACCCTGTCATGCAGCCATTGCTTCTCTGCTTTTTGCAATATTTTTCCATCCTCAGGTCAGGAGCTTGGCCGACAAGGACTGCAGGGTGTGGGGCTCTCCATTCCCACCACTCCCAAAGCCCCCAGTGCAAACCCATCAACAGGAAATGATGTCACCTTCTACAGAAACACGGATGAGGGAAGTCAGCTGGACTTTAGGACCATCATTTTTGTAATGATTCACTTATTTCAGGTTCAAAAGGACAGAGTTGGCCACACTCCATCCCATGATAAGCCAAAATTGGTATAATAAATACCAAAGACACAGGCCCACGTCAAACTCTGGAGGGCATTTGTGTATCACAGACTGTCTGAAATCCTAACAGAGAAACATTAGGAGGTGTGGACTGTGTCCCCCTAGGGTTAGATAAACACAGAGCTGGTGTGCAACAAATATTTGTGGAACAAGAAAAATCCCAAAAGACAGTGAACACTCATTGAGTGCATATGTTTGTACAGTGTATTTTTTTCCTCCTTTGATCTTCACAGTTCACCCTTCAACAGACGAGAAGACTGAAGCTTGGGAAGGTTCAGTGGCTTGTCCAAGGTCAGGTGGAGAAGGATGGTGGGGGGAGGATTTGAATTCAGATCTGCTCCATTCTTGAGTCTGAGCTTTTAAACACTCTAGTTTTTAACAATTTATAATCTAGTGACTTTTGTGACTCCCACCAGCTTCACCAGACTCAGAGAAGCGGTTGGAGTACCGAAGGACCACAGGGAGGCCAACTGAAGATGCTGTAGCCCAGGTGAGTTGTGTGCACCCATGGCATGGGCCCAGTGAGCAGCTATGGAAGCACATCTTATGTGTCTGGGTTGGGGCAGGTGACCTGTGGGTTACGGGTAGAGTGGGGCAGGGTGGGAGGTAGCAGAAATCCCTTCATCTCTTTTCCTACCCTCCAGCTCCAGCCTCCATCTCCTCTCTGCCCTGGCACCCCTTGCCATCAGCATCCTCAAAATTCCTTCGCCCAAGGAGGGAGCCCTTATCTGCTGCTACTGACAAAGTGACACTCCCTTGTTTCCCTTTTAGCCACTTTCCAGGGTCACCCCAGGGCTGAGGCAGCCGATAAACTCCTGCTGCCTCTGAAAGCAGGGGGTGGGTGAGGATAACTCCCCCTGCACCCCGAGAAAGAGGTGCTACCTCCCAGATCCCCCTCAAGGGAGGGTGGTGGTTAGCAAGTTCAGCCTCTCCCTTTTGCAGCTTGCATTATGTAACTCCGCCAGCCCCTCTGTGTGGGTGAGGGAGTCATGAATACCCAGACCCAGCCTGGGCTGCTTTCTCCATCTGGCGTCGCTGTATGTGTGTGCGTGTCTGTGTATTCATGCATCGCCCTCCTGCTGTGTCATTTCTCTGCTGTGTGAGCCTGTGTGGCCCGTGTGTTGACAGGCTGAGAGTCTTTCGGCATCTTGCTGCTGGCCTTCTGGCTTGCAGAGAAAACCAGCCCAAATTGCTATGTCCTTCCTCACTGGGGAGAATTGGTCCACCACCCTACCTGCCCCCATCCTGGGCTCTGGTTTCCTTAACTCTCCCAGAGCTCTCATGGTACCCATTTCTTTCAGGTACCAAACCCAGGATGCTCATTGTTTAGTTGAAGGCAGAGACAGCTGGGACCTCCAAATCTCTTGAGTGTTCTAGTTTGGCATTGGGCTCCATTCTTTAATTCATGAAGGGACTTGATGGTGAGCTCTTCGGGAGGTAGGGGCACCCAGCTTGCTTCTACCCCATACTGGCTTCAGCCAGAACTGACCAAAGGGATCTTCCTGGTGGCTCAGTGGTAAAGAATCCACCTACCAATGCAGATGACATGGGTTAATCCCTGATCTGGGAAGATCCCGTGGGCCGTAGAACAACTAAGCCCGTGCACCACCACTACTGAGCCTGTGCTCTAGAGCCTGGGAACCACAACTACGGAGCCCACAGGCCACAGTTACCGAAGCCTGCTTGCCCTGGAGCCCCGTGGTCTGCAGCAAGAGAGCCACCACAATGAGAAGCCTGCATTGCAACCAGAGAGTAGCCCCCACTCCTCGCAACCAGAGAAAAGCCTGCACAGCAACAAAGACCCAACACAGCCAAAAATAAATAAAATTATTAAGAAAAATAACTAGTTGAGACATTGCATTAAAAAAAAAACACTGCATTAAAAAATAAACGCTGGAGAGGGTGTGGAGAAAAAGGAATGCTCTTGCACTGTTGGTGGGAATGTAAATTGATACGGCGACTATGGAAGACAGTATGGACAGTCCTTAAAAACCTAGGAATAAAACCACCACATGACCCAGCAATCCCACTCCTAGGCACATACCCTGAGGGAACCAAAATTGAAAGAGACAAATGCATCCCACTGTTCACTGCAGCACTATTTACAATAGTTAGGACATGGAAGCAACCTAGAAGTCCAGTGACAGATGAATGGATAAAGAAGTTGTGGTGCACATACACAATGGATTCCCAGGTGGCTCAGTGGTAAAGAATCCACCCGCCAGTGCAGGAGATGGAGGAGACATGGGGTTGATCCCTGGGTTGGGAAGATCCCCTGGAGGAGGAAATGGCAACCTACTCCAGTATTCTTGCCTGCGAAATTCCATGAGCAGAGGAGCCTGGCGAGCTATAGTCCATGGGGTCGCAAACAAGTCGGACGTGACTGAGCGACATGGAATATTACTCAGCCATAAAAAGGAACTCATGTGAGTTCTAATGAGGTGGATGAACCTAAAACCTATTATACAGAGTGAAGTGAGTCAGAAAGAGAAAGATAAATACCATATTCTAATGCATATGTATGGAATCTAGAAAAATGGTACTGAAGAATTTATTTACAGGGCAACAGTGGAGAAACAGACATAGAGAACAGACTTATGGACATGGGGAGAGGGGAGGAGAGGGTGAGATGTATGGAGAGTAACATGGAAACTTAAATTACCATATGTAAAATGGATAGCCAAAGGGAATTTGCTGCATGGCTCAGGAAACTCAAACAGGGGCTCTGTATCAACCTAGAGGGGTGGGATAGGGAGGGAGATGGGAGGGAGGTTCAAAAGAGAGGGGATATATGTATACCTATGGCTGATTCATGTTGAGGTTTGACAGAAAACAATACAATTATGTAGAGCAATTATCCTTCAATAAAAAATAAATAAGAAAAACACAACTTACCAAAGGACAGAGCTGGGACTTGGCTTAAGAAAAAAGAAATAAGGCAAGCCCACAGATCTCCCTGGTCACTCCTAGCTTCTCCTCTCTCTTCCTCAGCTGCTTTCTAAATTGGCAGGGGAGGGGGGTGGGGGGGGGATGGGGGCAGGGCTGTTGGCTGGATGGGAATTGGGAAATTGAAGTGCTGTTTTTTAGACCTTGTCCCTAGAAAGACAACTTGATCTTTAGAAGGAATGGAAAGAGGCAGGGCTTCAGTGAGGCAGTGATATTCAGCATCTGCTGAGAGACAGGGTTGGGGGTAAACAAGCTCTAGGTCTAAGCAAGTGGATTCTGAACCTTCATCAGGGACAACCCTAATTTTAAGGACAACCCCCCTTAATAATATCCCTCTTTTCCCTCCCCTCAAACATGTCTTCACCCCCGTCCTGTCCAGGATCAGGTCTGACACCCGCAAAGAATATGCTAAGATGCTAGATGGAGACGCGTCTGTCCTGCTTCGTGAATGCCCAGTATCCACAGTGTCTCCTCAAACCTGGGCCTCCGGGACGGCTGGCCACCCTTCTGCCACAGGGAAGATCTTTAAGGCCCTTTCTGGCTCTATCTGTGTGTTTCTGGGTGAGTTCTTTATTTTCTCTGAACCTCAGTTTCCGTATGTGTAAAATGGGCTCCTTAAGTAATTCTTCACTCCCTGGGTAACTGGGAGGATTGAATAAAATAGTAAGTGCCTGGGTTTCAGTAATGTCACAGAGCAAGCACGCAGAAGAAACGGCTTCTTACCATTGTCCTGTAATATGTAATGGTTCCAGCTCCCTGCCCTTGACTCAGTGCGCTTGCTACTCTGTTGCAGCCTCTCCAAAGGCATGTCATGTGCCAGGAGGGGGCTGAGGCTTGAAAGCACAGAGAAATCTCACGCCGCTCATGATACGCGGCACAGAATACAGGGAGACGGGTGGGTACTGGGTATCCTGCCAACCCAGCCTCCGACTCTTGGAGCTGTGATTTTAAACACGGCACATGTGCG